GTGTGGCTCTCTCCACAGCAGCTGGAATTTTCAAAGCAACATCCAAACAGATCCAGAATGGGGCCAGGGCTCACTCATTCTGCAGGGGCAGGGTGTTTTATTTGGGTTTATTGGGAGCAGCCAGGCTGGTGGACAAGGAGATGCTGGGTCCTCTTGTGAGAGATGCACATTCTGGGGTCCACCCCGACGGACGTTAGACACACATGTCCCGTCGGGCCTCGGTGCTGGCCATGTGGACTCCCACCATGAGTTTTGGTGCTGTCCTGGTGCACACGGGGTTCGCCTGGGTCCCCACAAGGCCTCACGTTAGTGCTGGAGCCGGCAGGGGGTGGCGGGGGCGGGTGGAGGGAAACCCTCGCCCACGGAGAACTCTGACAGCTCCGAGCCACCGGAGAGGCCTGCCCACACGCTGGGCTGTCTAGGACTCCACCTCTGTCCACAGCTGGCCCAGCCCAGGCTCTCTGGCCCATCTGTGGACCATCTTACCATTTTCCCTCCCATTTTTCTAAAAAAATTCACAACTTCCAAGGAAACATTTCATCACCGAGGGAAAATGGAAAACCGGTAGCACGTACCACAAAGAGACGCAACCGTCAAGATCTGTCAGAATGTTGGGAACAGTGATGCTATGAGATCTTACATGGACGCTGCTGCCCCTCGCCCCCGGCCCTTCCCAGGGAGAGCAGCACGACTGGAAAGCTGCCGAGGACGTCCTGGCCCCAAGGTCCTCACCAGGGCGGCAGGGGCACACTGCACGCGCGACGCCACCAAGTCACGCGATTGCGGTCCCCCCCCAAGGCTTTTATGTTAACTGACTCTGTGGTTTTACGGAAGTACTTGCATTTAAAAGGGAAATTTGTATCGCCGGCTAACATCGCGCTTGTAAACAAGCACAGTGAGAGCAAAATAATATCGTTAAATTCTTGCTCCATGCCTGGTACTGGCTCCCTCTGTGAAACAGTGAGGACATCCTGGGGCCCACCTCAGGCCTTGATGTTGGGAGAGAATGTAAAGGGCGGTGGCTTCTCCTACGCTGCATGCGCCACGGGAACCCTGGATCCTTCTGGATGCAGGGAGGCACCGCGGAGCCCGACGCTTTGGGGGTCTTCAGGCTCCGATAGCTTGTATGTGAGCAAAGTGCAGTTAAAATCCGCTTTCCCACCTCGGTGGGGGCTTCTGGTCAAAACAAGCTGTCCTCACAGCACTGCTTGCCTGCACCACGCCCAGCCCCGAGGCCCAGCCCCGAGGGACCACGCATCCTGCCCACCCAGCCCCAGCAGTCAAGGCTCACGGCCAGCAGGAGGGTGGTCCTACCTTGGAGGCCCTGGGCACCACCGTCCACTCGGGCCTCCTCTGGCCTGCGGTCAGCACGGAGCCCTATTCTAAAGATGCCAGGCCAGGCCGTCTCCTTCTCCCCAGAGAGGTTTTCTTCCTTGCAACCAGTGGGCCCTGGTTAAGGTGTCCCCTCCTATCCAGCAATGCAGCTTCAAGACGGTGTCACAGGCTCACAGGAGTGCTGGCCTTGTGACATAGAGCAGAGTCCAACCCGTGGTCACGGACTGTCGGCCTGGTATTCGGCCCAGAGACCTGTTGTGCTTGGCTCGTGGAATGTTACAAGATTGGGAGTTTTCACACCAGGGTCCAGACTGCCTGTGTGTCCAGCAACTGGAAACAAGGCCAAGTCTGCGTCCCCCCAGCGCTCAGGCCAGGGCATCACCCTCAGAGGCGCCGAGTCCTCAACACCCCTTACTGTCTCCCCTCTGCCCCCCAGCCCCTGGGGGGCCTCATGGGGCAGGATCCTTCTCCCGCCCAGGAGGACAGCACCCGTGGATGACTGGCCCCAGCAGGTGCACTGGTGGGGGGGGGGGGTGGAAGTTCCAGCTGCTGACCTTCCCAGGCCGAGCCGCATGATGGTCTCTACGGCAGGGACCGCCAAGGGGCAGGGGAGAGGTGGGGGCCCAGGCCCCTCAGGAGGGGCAGGGGGCCTCCAGAGAGGACTTGCTGCCTGAAGGGAGAAGAGGTAGGCCCTTCCCAAGGAAAGAAAGTAAAGGGATGAAGGGCCAAGGAATTCCAGCTATGGGGGAGAGAGGGGGGCAGGGAGCTGCAGTGGGGGAGTGGGAAGGAGTGTGACAGTCACGAGAACCTGCGCAGGCAGGGCTGTGGATGACATCGGGGGGATTAGAGCAGAGCAGGGACACGACCTGTCACCCACTCAGCGACCAGCCGTGAGTGTCCCTCTGAGCCCGGCCAGCACAGGCCCTGTGTGCTCTCAGAACCATGATGCAGCAGAGGGAGGCGTGACGGGCAAGAGGATAACAGGAGGGGCTTCTGGGCAGCCACAGCGCCCCAAGGCAGACAGAAGAGGGAGGCCAGGAGGGCGACGGGTGGACAGGGACACCCCCCCGGCGAGGGGCCAGGAGCCCAGTGCCTGAGACAGGAAGTAGTGCCCGGAGCAGAGCAGAAGGTCCCTCGCAGGGGCCCCAGGACAAGGATGAAGAAGAGAAGGGAACCAGGGGCAGAGGGCACGTGGCTTAGCCAGGAGCCCAGCGAGGGAACAGGATGAGGAGGGCGCACAGCCTTGAGGGCGGCTGCGGCTCTGCTTCCGAAGCTCCTTCTTGGCATTTTGGCAAAGGGTGCATTTGAAAGCAAGAGCTGAGAGGCAGCAAGGCCCCTGCGAGGACTGAGCCATCCGCCGGGCGGGAGGCCCAGGCGCCTGGACCCTCCCGGCTGTGCCCGGCCACCTGCCCAGCACGCGAGTGTCCCTGGATGTGCACTCCGTACAGCCCGGCTGCAGTGGAGACCTGGAGGGGACAGCTCTCAGGAAGGGCAATCGCGGGGCCACGGGGCTTCTCATCCCTAGAAATGCAGGAGTGTGGGCAGCCCTCAGAACGAGAGGCGGGGGCAGCCAGAAGCAGCCCCACCCCAGGTCCGCAGCTCCCAGCAAGCTCAGCACGCTTCCACGGCCTCCAGTGTCTGTTAGGCACCGGCTGCAGCAAACACCGCGGGTCAGTCTTCAGTCTCCACGCGGAAGGAGCCTCGCTGTCGGACTCTGAAGCTAGCCCCCGCTTAAGAAGTGAAGCTCATCAGATTCACGCCTTCCGGATCACTGAGTCAGTTGGTCCCCCGTGCAGGTGAGGCCCCAGGGCCCCCAGGCCCTTCCTCAGAGCCTCCAGCATCCCACAGGCTCATCACCCAGAGCAGCGAGGGGTGACCTGTAGAGTCTCAATTCTGCGCTCCTGGAGGAGACCCCCTCCACCCCCTCCCACATTCCCTTCCTGCCCAGTAGCCTCTGTTTCTCTAGCACTTTGAACGTTCTCCTCTTGGAACAATTACTGTAAGCCCTGAGCTGTTTCCTGGGAACTGAGCCCCAGGATAGGGCCTCTGGTTCTCGCAGCTGGAAAGGCATGCCCTCCCCCGCCACCCCCAGCCAGGTGAGCTGCTGCCTGGAGTCCCTGTGAGCCGAGCCCTGATAAAGAGCCAGTCCTCAGCCCACGGACACGTCATTTCAGCATCAAGAATGAGAACTACCTGCCTAACTACAGCTCCAAAACATCACTACCTCATCTGGGAGGCCGTGGGCTCAGCAAAGCAGGGGAAGGAGATGGATCAATACCAAGTTATCAGCCAAGTGGTTTGATTCCTGCACATTTAAGCACACAGGCACCTCTGGATCTCGATCCCCTCAGGTCAGCATAATTTTACAGAGGTGCCCGATTCTCAGCAGTGAAATGATACTGGCAGACAGGCCTACCTGGGGAGGGGAGGAGGTGGCAGGGAGGGGGCATAGGTCAAACAGTTTTAAAAACAAATCAGAAGTCAGTAGGTGGTTGTCCTTGGCGCCCTGACCCCCGGGCGAGGAACCACCTGCCTCACAGATACCCAGACCAGCCAAAAGCCTGCTGAGTAGTTTACCAGATGACAGCAGAGGTGCTTTTCACCCAGGCTACAACACAGAGAAAAGCGCCAGCAGCTGAAATGTGAGGGCCTATTGGCCTGATGGGCACCCAGTCTGCAGTTCCTGGTCTGGACTGGAGCTGGAACAGTCAGCCCTGCCCCAGCTTCATCAGAAGGCCTATGAGCCTCTGTGCAGAAAAAAGCACAGAGGGAGAGGCTGGTGGGCACTAAAACTCCCGGTGCAATAATTGTCGTCGTTATCCAATTATGCTCGGAATACCTGAAGCTAACACGGCCCACAGAGGGGCAATTCCATTAGACTGAGACCCACTTGTCTCACTTTACTTTGATAACGGCTTAATAAATAAACTGAGTGAGTCCTAACACAGAGTTGCAAAATGAAAAATACTTTGGCTTTTCCATTTTATGCCCCTCATTCTCTAATTATCTCACTTTCATATTTTCTTGCTTATCAGTTCCAGGCTCTGCCTCCTCCAGAAGGTGGGAAAAGCTCATCTCTTTCTCCTGCAAAGATCCCTTCCTGGGAAGGCGTTCCCTGGGTGTGCGCTGGGCCATCTATCTTCTTTCTCCAGACCTAACACACAGTTACCTAGAAAACACACACACTCAGAGTAAGACCATAATTGGGGCAGCCATAGAGGAGAGTACAATCAACATTACATTATTGCATATTTTAATAAAACTATGAGACAAGGGAGGTGGAGGGAATTAATTTCACTTAGCTCAGGCAGAAGGGAAGGGAGAAGGCCCCAAAAGAGGGCCCAGTGGAGAGATGACATTTGGATCAGGAGGCCCTGGAAGATTCCCCAGATGCAGGGGCAAGCTGGGAAGGGTGGCAGCTGAGACAAAGGCACAGAGCAGGGGAGGGCTGGCAGGTTCTAGCTACCTGGGCAGGTGATTCAATGCTGGTGCCTGGCACGGTGGGCATGCCATGGGGAAGAAGGGAAAGAGCTGGGGGGAACATGGCACAAAGGGCCTAAGACTCTCCGGGATCCACTGATAATGGGTCAAGGATAGCTGTGGTTACTTTGACATCTAGGAATCCAAAGACCCACAGGGTTTATGAAGTGAATCACCACCATCAATGGCAAAATGAACAACGCAATATATTAGTGACAAGTGTGGGGACAGGAAGATGGCAGAAGCACGGGGTCACAATTATCTACTGCTCCACGGTGGCCGCTAATCGTCTCTTCCCCCAGCCCCGAGATCAGCACCTGGATCAAGAATGCCCCCGTAGGGCTTCCCTGGTGGCGCAGTGGTTGAGAGTCCACCTGCTGATGCAGGGGATGCGGGTTCGTGCCCCAGTCCGGGAACATCCCACATGGCGCGGAGCGGCTGGGCCTGTGAGCCATGGCCGCTGAGCCTGCGCGTCCGGAGCCTGTGCTCTGCAACGGGAGAGGCCACAACAGTGAGAGGCCCGCGTACCGCAAAAAAAAAAAAGAAAAAAAAAAATGCCCCCGTAGATCGAGGCACTTATCCCAAGTCTAACCAAGTGCATCTAACTTCAACCCTTCAGATCATTTAAAAGCAAAGGCATAGACACATCACAGGTACAAAATCTATGGGATTATGTTCAGTTCAAAACTGCAGATACGCACTTCTGGTCCTACATTCTAAGCTTAAGAGTTCAAACAGAAATGAGACTTTAATTTTTGCTCAGGAAAATAAAAATAGGTTAATAGGGTCCAGTCAAGCTGCTAGAAGAGGTTTTTCTGTGCCAAGAGACAGGCACCGCGAGTTTCCCTAAACAGGTTATCATTTTAACATTGTAAAGCACTAGACTTATTTTTTAAATAGCAAAACTACAATTATCTCTGCACGTCCTGTATCGCCGCTCTGCAGTGCTCCCGTAACCATCCGACTGTCAGTGATATGGCTGGGATGAGCGTGTCTGTGCCACGCTAGACGGCCAGCCTTATCAAAGCCCAACTGCATTAATCCTTTTCCTTACATCAAAAATCAAATAACTTCCTGGAGAGAGGCTATACAGTCTCACCAAGAGCAGTTCCACTGGTAGACAGTTGAGTTGAGATTAACAGCACAATATGTTAGGAAATAAACAGATAAGCGTTTGCCTCCGCAGCTGCTGGTTGACACTCAGAGCTCAAGACTCCTTCAGAAAAATACAGGCAAGCGTCCAGAGTCGCACCCGTTCTCACCATCAGCCTTCACCACCCAGGAGAGAGCCCAGGAAGTTGGGCAAGAAACAACGCCCTCACCCACGATGCCATTTCCCATCAACAAAAGTTTTTACCTGCGTGGCATTTAAGCAAGAAGGAAATAATATTTCAAAACTGAAGAGAGAAGTGCAGTAAGGCAACGCCTGAACAGCTGCAGGAGGGGATGCCTCCCTGATAAAATAACCACCTTTCAAAGGGAGAAAACAATGGGATTTTCTGCCCACGGAGAGGAGCAGATTTAGAGGGAGGGGGCCTGCAGCCTCCTTATCTTGGGAGCAGCCCTTCTGCTCCCCTGGGGCTGGACGAGGTGACTAATTAGTGCCTCCTTGAAGCTGTAACCTTAGAAAGCCACTGGCGGACTTTCTATTTGCATGTCACCGAGTGACATCCTTCCAGAATCCTCCTTTTAGAACCCAACAATGGAGCATGTCTGCCAGCACAGGGGCTGCCAGGAGGACACAGGCCTGGCTTGAAAAGAATTCTGTCATACAGAGTGAAGTAAGTCAGAAAGAGAAAGACAAATACCATATGCTAACACATATATATATGGAATTTAAGGAAAAAAAATGTCATGAAGAACCTAGGGATAAGACAGGAATAAAGACACAGACCTACTGGAGAACGGACTTGAGGATATGGGGAGGGGGAAGGGTGAGCTGTGACAGGGCGAGAGAGAGGCATGGACATACATACACTAACAAACGTAAGGTAGATAGCTAGTGGGAAGCAGCCACATGGCACAGGGATATCGGCTCGGTGCTTTGTGACCGCCTGGAGGGGTGGGGTGCGGAGGGTGGGAGGGTGGGGAGGGTGGAAGGGAGGGAGGGTGGGAGGGAGGGAGACGCAGGAGGGAGGAGATGTGGGAACATATGTGTATGTATAACTGATTCACTTTGTTATAAAGCAGAAACTAACACACCATTGTAAAGCAATTATACCCCAATAAAGATGTTAAAAAAAAAAAAAAAGAATTCTCTTCTTGGTGCCTCTTTTGTGCGGGGAGGAAAAGCCATTCATGACACAATTTTATGTTAAAGAAGGAAGCAACCAAGTCCCCTGTCCTCTGGTCTTTCTCCCTCAGCCCTGCACCCCTTCCCATCCCCGCCCACAATCAACTGCCTGATTTAAACACAGCCTCCGAGTCCCGACCTGCCCCCCCCCCAAACCTGGCACATTGAGGGGAGACCTGTCACCTCTCATTTGTATCTTTCAAGCGGGAAAAGGCAAAACCAAGATTCTCTTACATCGTGACAGAACCATCACGTGAGCGGCACCTCTTCCGGGGGAAAGGCACAACCTCCAGGCTGACGGTGCTGAAAAATCAAATTCCTATTTTAGGTTCACGTGGCCTCGCCCACTGTGTGAGGCTGACAGGTGAGAACCACCAATGCTACATCAGGTGAGCATAGAGGATTTAAACACAGACACGTGACCCTCCAGGCTGAAGCCTCACGGTGGAAGATGCTGGAGCCCAGGCCTGTGGCTCCACGCCAGCCCAAGCGGAATTCAGTCCTGCTCACAAAGAAATCAGAAAGGCAGCCCCCTGGCCCCTCCCTTGCGCTGATTCAGCGAGGCTGGACATGAGGACCGTCGTCTATCACTTAGGAAGAAGGAGCGCCCCTGTCAATGGGCTGCACTTAATACAGCGGAAGATGAGGGAATCGAAGGGCACTGGGAAATTAACACACAAGGGATGATCCTTCAAGCCGGGCCCTACAAGTTTCCTCTAATTACAGGCATCTGCTCTGCCCGAGCAAACCTGCATCCCAGGTAAAGCACAGAAGACGTGGAGAGAGGTGGGAGAGGCTCAGATGAGAAGGCTCTCCCATCCCATACCCTAGTCTATCCTGTGAAACTCTGGAAAGTTCCAGAACCTCTGTGTGCTGGAATTCCAAAAAGTGGAGACAACCCCATTCTCATTCCAGGGGCTGCAACAAAAGTCTGTCGCTGTCATCATATTTAAAATCAAAGATCTTTAGAGAAGGCTATGCTTGTTGTATTTCAAATGCAAATATCCCAGGACGACCTACAAATACAGTTCAGGTTTATCAGGGTGGGGGACAGATCTTATGTCATAAAGACGCATCTGCAGTTTCTAGGACTAGAAATCCAGAGCATTTGTTAAGTGTTTAAACCCAAAATACCCCAGTGAAACACTCCCAGCAGTTGGGAGACACTCTCCCTTCCAGCAAAGGTGCCACTGCGCAGCCGGAAGGAAAGACACTTGAGGTTCAGGCGGTACCCCTGCCCCTCGTCATTTTCAAAGGATCCAAGACTTCAAAATGGATTTCAAAGGCTGCTGCAATTTTCGCAGCATGGTAGAAAATTGACGTTTACCAGCCATTAACCTTTCAAGCACGGAACAATTTTTTTTTTCTTACATGGAAGTATATCTTACACTCCTCTGCAGATAAATCCTTAAGCTGTCCAGCTCCTTAAAAGTCACTCTCTGTTCTCAAGAAAATATAGTTCTATAATTTTACGGACTTTTGATCACAATTTTATCGCCTTCAGCCCTTTGCTGGTATTCTGTTTTTATCTTAAAATGTAAGAACTAGATAAGACAAGTGGTATAATCCCTTCTTTGCATCTGAGGGAAGGTGGGAAAGAGTAAGATAACTTGAGAAAAAAGCATCCGGCTTTAAACAGTGAGGAGCCTGCAGGATGGTGACAGCTATCTTTGGACACTCATTGCCTAATGACTCCATTAGCTCGTCACGCCCCAGCATTAAAGGTGATATGACATAATCCAATCATACCCAGCCCTATTAATAAATAACGGTTGTGAAATTATGTCCATGTGCGGCCTCCATTCCCCATGAGCCTACAAAGCTTTAAATAAGCCTCTCCATCATTTGTTTATTCAATTTTAAAAACATGCCTTTTGCCAAAAGGTCTCTGGCCTCACGTAAGAATGTAAAGGTCAAGAAGGGAAAACGTCCCCAAACAAAACCATAAAAAATATCAAATCAAGCTGCCGTCTAATGGAAAACTTACTGCTCCAAAGGCCAGCTCATCACCTCTCAGGGGCAAGGAGGAGGAGAGTCTGGTCATCTAACAAGAGCTGTGACCAAGATGCAGGCTGGCAGTGGCCTGCTGTCCACGGGCCAGACTCGGCTTCCCGCAGGTCACACGTCAGTCCTGCTGGACCCTCGAGACCAGCCTGGGCAGTGAACTGTCATTTCCTCCTGGGGAAGCAGTGCCGGCGGTCACATCAGACACGGCACGTGCCTAGTGCCACACAGCTGATGACGGGGGCGCCGGGTCTGCACCCCCCAGGCTATCAGACCCCCTGCCTCGGGGGTGCCCGGTCTCCGTGGGGGGAATCGGGGCCAAGGTGATGGACAGAACAGGGCAAGGGCAGACCTCAGGAGGCAGGCTGTCCCACTTAAACAACTGTCCCCAAACCATCCAGCATCAGCGTCCCCTGCTTCGTAAAAGGGGGCTAATAATGCGCTCTCCTCAGAGGGTGGTGGTTGGCACCGGCAAGGTGCCTGGCGCAGAGGAAGCCTAGATCCACAGACTAGAAAACAGAACAACGGTCCTCCCAACTCCTCGGATGGGACCAGACGCAAGCATGGGACAGGGCGCCCGTGGGAGCCTGGTACTCACCACAGGGGCTGCATGACCCAGCTCACCCAGTTTACAGCGTCCATAACCCAATGCCATGCAAACAGCCTGACCATCAAGAGAAAGCAACGACACGGCTGATCCAGAACGTTCCAACCCGAGGGCCTTCCGCCTCTGCTCCGGCTGCCCTGGGTCACTCATGGGGAGATGTGTCGCATGCAGCCCGAGGGGCCAGCTGGAGCAGCGCCTGGGGCCTGAGAATCCTGGTGCCCAGTGGCAGTGGTCATGCAAAGGCCAGGCCCATTCCCATGCCAGTCGCCGGCCCTTGGGTTGCTTGCCCATCCCAACCCCAAAAGACAGGATGGCCACAGCCACTCCCTGCCAATTAAGACCTGGAGCCCCCTGGGATACCCAGGGCTCCCCATCAACACAGACCCAGCAGGCAGGGCGGCTTGCAACAGTCTGGTCCCAGGAATGCAGGAGGCTACCTGCAACGCAGCCGCAGATGGACAGGGACAGGGTCAGGGCCTTGGAACCTGAGCTGAGCAGCCGCCTTCCTGGGGAAAGCCCGCTCACCTCTGCTTTCCGGAGGGCTAAGGGGCCAGGCAGCAAAAACGCGGCTGCTCGAGACACGGAAAGGACACTGGGAGCCAGAAATAATGCCTTTTTGCATTTGTAGAGTAAAGCAGTTCTGGGGAGAGAAGAGGCATATTCGATGAATGCTTTCCTTCCGGAGAGCACCCGCTCCTTCACGTGCATCTCCACAGTGGCAGGGAGCGTGCCTTTCCTTCTGCAGCAGCAGTGGTTCAACGACACACTCCCAAACGCAGACCTTCAGGTTAACAAGATATTTACAGTGTATCTATGTGATACTATCTGAGCTATAATCCTTGCTAAAATTCCATTTGACCGGGAAGGATAATGGGAGGAAAGCAAATGTTCACATACATTTGAATTCCAATGAAACTGTTCCGTGTCAGGCTCTATAATACGAGATCCTACATTTCTGTACTGACGTGCCCCGTTTACTGTTCTGGGGAGATGGAAACCACAGCATCCTTCCCACCGCCCACCTGAGCAGCACTTTAGGATGTTGGTTACCTCCTGGCAGAGCCCCTCATGGAAAACACACTTTCTCATGAGGGATGCTGAGCGCTGGAATTCTGAAGGTAAACGTCCTCTAGACCTGAAGCCTTCAGGCTTTAAGGAACATCAGCTTCCCTGGCAGTTGGATTAAATAGGCAGAGTCCTAGGGCACAGACCCAGGATTTCTAGTTCAGTGTGTGTGTGAGTTTCCTGGGGCTGCTGTAACAAGTGACCACAGACTTAAAAAAAAAAAAAAAAGAGTATTCTCTTGAAGTTCTAGAGCCCGTAAGTCTGAAATCCAAGTTGGCAGGGCTGCACTCCCTCCACAGGCTCCAGGGGAGCGTCCTTCCCACCTCTTGCAGCTCCTGGTCCCCCGCGTGTCCTTGGCTTGTGGCCTCACCACTCCAGGCTCTACTTCCATCGTCACACAGCTTCTCCCCTGTGTGTGTGTGTCTCCTCTTCTGTCACCTATAAAGACACTTGTCACTGGATGCAGGGCCCTGGATAATCCCGGGTGATCTCAAGATCCTTAGCTTAGTTGAACCCGCAAAGACCGTT